GGAGTGGCTTGAGCAAGCATGTATATTCGTGTGTGTGTCTGTGTGTGTGTGTGTGCGTGCGCGTCCGGGCTGATGCGCATGGGTGAGTGTTCCGCCGGGGCAGGACCATTTTTGAGTTTTCCTAGGACCTCCGTATGTGGCAACTCGCAACTCAGATCCTGAAGCCGGTCGCTGTGTCGCAGGAGTTCTCGCAAGGCCTCTGGAAGGGCCAGGTGCTCAGAGCGCTAGAGCACATGCATGCATGGGTACATACGTATATATATATATATATAATTATATGTATATAATTATATGTATATGCATATGCATATATGTATATATATATATAGATATGTGCAATTACATCCGTGCTTCAGCATCGAACAACAGTCCCGCGTAGCTCAAGCTCTCTATTTATGCAAGGGCTGGGTGGTGAGGTGTTAGGTTCTTGGCCTCCGGGCTTCAAGCTTTCAGGGTTGATGTTGGATCATGGCAGAGGGGGTGACTCTACCTAAACCCAAACCCCAATGCCCTGAGCCCGAATCCCTTGACCCTATGCCGCCAGCCCGTCTTCGGATTGCAAAGCTCAAGCCAAGCACTATCTGAGATGTAAGGCCTTCGACATCCGCCTCGGGAGCATTGGCAGCTCCAGGCAGGAAACCCTAAACCCTAAACCCTAAACCCTAAACCCTAAACCCTAAAAGCGGTTTTGGGACTAGGGCGAAGTCCTCGGGTTTCTGTTGAGGGTTTGGGGATTTCGGGGATCTGGTCGTCTTGTCCGAAGGTTTAGGGTTTAGGGTTTAGGGTTTAGGATTTAGAGACTCGTGAAAACCATGTGCCAAAAAAGGAGAACTTCATTAGGTGAGGGATCAGGGGTAAACCCTAAAACCTACTTTAACCCCGAACCCCCTCCAGTCCGGGCGAATAGTAGGGTCGAGGGTTTGGGATTTTGAGCGTAGGGTTTCGGGCCTCAAACGCCAAGCTACCTTCTGGACCCTAACACCCGAACTCCTGCCTGCCCCGAACCTAAACCCCCAAAAACCAAACCGTGCCCTAACTCCTGGCTGTAGGGCAAGCTCATGCGTGGCCTTGCGGATCCAAGCGACGGGCAGGCTTTGCGCCACTCGGCGGCTCCTACAGCCCCACAAACCCTAAAAACCCCAATCCCAAAGCACTTGATCCGAAATCCCCATGTCGCTAAGGCCCCAAAGTCCAAAGTCCAAAACCCCGAGCCTCTCAAGCCGCGCACCGTGCACGTGTGAGCTCGTAGCAGGCGGTTTGCATCCGGGTAGCTTTATACTCGCTGGCTTTCGTGCAACGGCTCAGAGAGGTGTCTCGCAAAGAACTGAAAAAACTAATATAGAAGTGAACTAACTAAGGAGTTCTCCATAATGGCAAGCCCAGTCTTTATTCAAACCGCTATTCCTCAATCAAGGGCGGTTCGCAGAGATGCAGCCTCGAAGGTTTTTTGGAACCAAGACTTCATCTCAGGGCTTCGGCGGCTGTGAGGGTCCTGTGACCCAAATGTTTAGGCTGGATAGGGGTTCCATTAGGGTTAAGGGTTGAGGGTTCAGGGTTTAGGGTTAAGGCTTTGGGGTTAAGCTTAGGGTTTAGGGTTCAGGGTTAAGCTTACGGTTTAGGGTTCAGGGTTAAGCTTAGGGTTTAGGGTTCAGGGTTGTATCTTAGGGTTTAGGGTTATCCTAAACCCTAAACCCTAAGCCCTAAACCCTAAACCCTAAACCCTAAACCCTAAACCCTAAACCCTAAACCCTAAAGCTAAGTCACTTCTGCCCCCCGGCCTTCACGTCGTTTGACTTGGCGCGGAGACCCGCAGTCCTACCGTCACGCTTTGTGTTGTCATCCACGGCCTGAAAAGAAGGTCATTACGGTTTGGAGTTTAGGGTTTAGGTTTTAGGGTTTAGGTTTCAGGTTTTAGGTTTTAGGTTTTAGGGTTTAGGGTTTAGGGTTTAGGGTTCCTTTTCGCAAGAGCTCCTCCTTTGAGCACAGCATGCTTCCGACGCAGGGGATTCTTGGAGAAACATTATGTACGTGAGCGGGACACCCGAAAGAGAAGACACGTATTTCAGAACAACGCGCAATGGGATTAGAACTGTCGTGCTGACTCAACACTGTCTCAGGCGAGTGGGGTGTCGAGATTGCATCATCGCCGATGATTCCTAGCTTGCAATCGGATTAGGGTTTAGGGTTTAGGGGTTTCTTGCACTCCGGGGGTGCGGATTCAAGTGGTCTGGACTTGGACACGTCTTCACTCTGCACAAACGCACGACACATGAAGCTAAATCTATCTTCCGAGAGCTTTTTGGGGGGGCTTTGTCGGGTGCCGGCTGCACGCTTACGATTTCGGATGCTTTCAGACTCGGGGGTTCGGTTTGAGAGTTCGCACGTGTGGCCGGTGCCGTCGGGGACCGAATGGTGCTATTCACAGCATGGCATGAGTCCTTCTTAGAAGGAAGCTTCGAGAAACAGTCATAGTTCATGCCTTGCAGGGCCTCTGGAACTAGATGGTCTTGGATGGTTGGGTGCTTGTTGGGACTCTGCGAGTAGAGCAGCGAGGCCAGACCGGCCGGGTTTAGGGTTTACTGTTTACTGTTTCGGGTTTAGGGCCCAACCCCTCCTAAAGCAGATCCTGAATCCCAGGAAAGTGCGCTTTGGACAGCTGGAGCATGCCGCTGCGGCTGCAGAGAACGTGGGATTTGCTGAAGGTTCAAGGTTTCGGTTTTTCATATGATGATGATGATGATGATGATGATGATGATGCCTTGAGCAGGTGGGTTTTAGGCGATTGGGGCTTCTGACCCTTGGATCCCTGAGCCATGGGCCCAAATCACCTCCCCCGAAGCTCCGCAGCCGCCTAAAGCAAGCAGAGCAGAAGCCACGTCTCCCCGATCCTCCCCGTAATATAGGGGCTTTAGTAACTACCTATACTATTTTGGGACTTCCTTATTAACTTCTAATGATTCAAGTCCCTACAGTACTCACTACTCATGACTTCTTTTTGATCGGAAGTTGATGAGCACTCTGGTGAAAAGTCCTAGACTGGTTTTGCCTGTTCATTGTTGACAGTACCAGCAGCAGGATTAGCCTAAACCCTAAACCCCTAAACCCTAAACCCCTAAACCCTAAACCCCTAAACCCCTAAACCCTAAACCCTAAACCCTAAACCCCTAAACCCCTAAACCCTAAACCCCATATAGTATAGTACAATATAGGCAGCCCCTTTTCGGGTTCCTAACCCCCTCTCCGGGGGCCTCCCCTAAACCCTAAACCCTAAACCCTAAACCCTAAACCCTAAACCCTAAACACTCTCCGGGGGCCTCAAGATCCCGGTTCTGGCGCTCAGCCGCTTCGGCGCGTTTCCTTCGCTCCTCCCGGGCCTCGGAGTGTCAGTAGGGTTTAGGGTTTAGGGTTTAGGGTTTTAGGGTTTAAAGTTTAGGGTTTAGGGTTAAAGGGTTAAAGGGTTTAGGGTTTAGGGTTTAGGGTTTAGGGTTTTAGGGTTTAAAGTTTAGGGTTTGGGGTTAAAGGGTTAAAGGGTTT